ATTTAGGTCATGTGTGTGTGTGTGTGTGTGTGTGTGTGTGTGTGTGTTTATTGAGGTCGTTACCATGAGACTTTCGCATAAGCAAAGGGTCTCTTGTTTTCGATCCATAAAATTCTTATCTTTATAAAATTTTTCATACAAAGCGTTACACGGAATCTACTGTGTATGCTTATGTTGTGATTATCACCGTAAGCCATCACCGAACGCTTTCAGCATGTGATTGTAGCTGTAGGACACTTTTGCTATGAGGCACGAGTTACTGAAAATATAGGTATAATTCCTCTCCAAAAGTTTTGCGTTTACCTTTTTTATTCGTATCGCATCCTGGCTTTCTGGACGCATTTCCCTTGTTTTGGTTCATAAGAAGCTCAAGGGCTAGAATAAAGTATTGTTGCTGAATCATCTTGTCTAATATGGCTGATCTCATTTTTTGATTTCTACATGTGCTGAAAGCCCTTCATTACCGTAAGAGAGTGGAGTCATTCCTTACATGATCCCACATTTTAAAATCTCGTTGTAAGTCGAAATCTACGCGGTTGCACACTTTTAAACCGTCAATCTTGATCGTTTGTTAGAACGATAGTCATCATATCATGTAGTCACAGTGCCTGACTGATGCAAAGCGGAGGTAAATTTTAGTAGAAATTGCTACTTTTTTTCTCTTTTTGGTTTAAATACTATGTATGATACCAAAAAGTCTGAATGCAAAGACGATCACCCTGCTTAATTGTGACTGGGCAGTGTCTATACTGCATACGGAAACTTCTAAGCGGGCCAGTCGCGTATACCGTTTCAGCTCACGGTTCCGCTTGCAGGTCTGACGTGCTAAATGGATTCTGCATGCTTTTGACTTCTAAGCGCACTTATTTTTTTTCAACGAGGACCTATAGATTGAATAGCTTTTTCATAATCACTCCATTAATCCACTTTCGGTACTATGTGGAAAACGATGTCTAATTCAAGGATGATACTTTCGCCAATTTTGATTTCCACAAAGGTTACAAATTTTTTCGCTAATTTAATAGTTTACCAGTTTCCGCACTGAATGTGCTTGATGATTCTAATGAACACTTTGTTCGGAAAATTTCATAGTTTGTCAATATTTTATTTACGCACTGTTTTAATCACTAATTTTATTTAGGTTGTAATCCCCACATTCGTGACCACTACGGAAGGTTTCCAAGCAGTTATTTCAATAATAGATACCACATAAAGCTGCTGCCTTTCAAAGAGTCTTTAAAATGTCGAGTCCGAAATCTGTCCCCAGACGTCTTTGAAGACAAAGCATTTGTGTTGCTTACTTAGAGCAGTAGAGAAAATTGTTTATTCACTGCGTTTGCTTATGTGATTTTCAGGCGTTGCTTCTATTATTCGCAGGAGTGTTTTCATATCAGCGTTGTTTATCTATATTATTCCTTGTTGCTGCGAATTGCTGCGTTCCTAAACAGTTTCTGACGAATTATTGTTGAAGTTGTTATCAAAAATAAACGTTGACTGATCATTTTCGAAATTCAGCATTAATAACAGTACGGGATGGCCCAGCTGCTAACTGTTACGTATCCTGTTCAGAAGTATCCATGTCTGTTCTAAAGTATCTACCTGGTGTCTTTCTAGTTTCACTTTCTAGTTTCATCTTTTCATTTCACGGCAGAATTCATCCTATATTTTAGAACAAACACCTTAACACATGAGAATGGATTACCGGTACTGCTTATTTGCGCCTGAAAATCTATGGCACCTCGATACAAGAGAACATATGTGGGGGTAGTGATGCCGTGAGATGCCGAGTTCTAGTCATATACCGGGCTTAATATGTTTCCATTAGAACGGCTAATTCCCTTGAGCACGTTTTTTACTTCACTGGTTTCAGTGCAGTCAATCACCAAACTGCGAATGATGGGGACAGTATGGTGCTTTGGTGCGGTCATGCCAATATGAGGCATACTACCACTGTCTGATTCACGCATTATGGGTGGAATTCGCCTTGACCTGACTGATAGCTGTTTATGAATTAACACAAATTGTAACTCGAAAAAAGAAACAAGCAAAAATGTGCAACCAATTACGAACGAGTCTAGGAGAATATTTTAGGCTCAATTTTTGTTCTACATGCTCAGTATTATGGATTAATCATAATAATTTATGATGGGTCGAAGCTTCAATCGTAAAATCTCCTGTGTTCAAACGTGGTTTCAACGTAACATGATAATGCTTCTTCGTATCCATGCACTGCAGGTACGAAAATGGTATGGCTTTTGCGAAGTGTCTGAAAAACAGATTGTTTGAAACAAGAGTATGATGCGACTTCGCTGTGAAAATCGAAGGAATTTGGCAAAAGAATGTTTTACTTAAGTAATCTGTCAATTCTCCATATTTAGACGGTATACTTGAATCATACTCTCAAGTTGACAAGAGACTGTTGCTCTTATCTGCGGTATCGAAATTACCGTTTGTAGGTAAGCCTGCAACATAGAACTTTTTATGTATATATCGTTATTTCCTTCAGCAAAGGCAACAATGTGTCCCACATACCTCAACTTTGCTGCTATAGCAATGCATAAAAATGAA